GTGTGTGTGTGTGTATTCAAATATAATGTATTCCCCACTAGCTCATCGAGGTTGTGTGTACACGTGTATAATATATATGTATTCCCCACTAGCTCATCGAGGTTTTACTAGATTGGTCTACAAAATGAAGCACATGAAGCAATCCTCCACCTCCAATGAGTGCAGATATGGCATGACCTAACGCAGGTATTAGCGAGTGACACATTTTCGTGCAATTGATTTTCTGTCTAGATTTTCGTATCATTTTCTCCGGTTTTTCAAAAGTTACTGTTTCATTGTCCGACTGCTTTACTGTTACAGTAACTTGCAATGAAGGAGAAAAGGCGTTCTGACGACTTGCTCACTCAGATTGGGGACCCTACATTAATACTCCTATAATCTCGCTATTAATTCGAACAAATTTAATAGATCCAATACCACCCGAGAAACCACTACTATGCGTATTCTCCCCCTACTTCCCGTCTTCGATTATACTTCCCACCACATTCTTTAGCTCTCACTTATCCTGCTTCAATAATATCTTGTTGCAAACATGACTACCCGCAGGGGGTGAGCCGAGCTCGGTAGGCTTCGCCGTTTTAGACCCGTTCTCCTCGCCACACTTCATAGAAGTAAAATCACAGTTAAATACGACAGTGGTGGTAGTCCTAAATTAGTATTTAGTATAAGAATGCAGTACGAATTAACGACATCATCTAAGTCGTATATTCCAAATTTGACCAATACAAGTGAAGATTCTAAAGGGGTCCACCAGGTATGGGGATGTCTGCTATTTGAAAGTCCCCAGTATATTCCAAAATTTCCAGTTTTGACAGAATTCCACAATTCACGTACAATATACGCTTCACAGCGTTTATGACCCTGCGGATGATAATCATAATTAAATGGTTACGTAATTACCAATATTTTCGATTTTTATGAATACACCGCGCAGTTGTTTCACGAAGTTTACTACGGTTAGTTGTATGATAACCTACAAGGATAAAACGTGTCGAATCCAACTGGTGTAGTGGTAACATAGATGATTTCCATTCATCTGCCATGGGTTCGATTCCCGTGTTGGAGATAATTTTGTTTTTCTTTTCATTATAACCGTGACCTTGACGTTGCTAGTAAATCGCATTCTGTTTCATCTATCCCGAGCCACATAGAAAGTGAAGAAGACAAAATATGACTAGATAGAAGTTGAAATCAATAGATAATATGGGAATATTTATTGTAATTTATCAAATTGGACTTCAGATTTGAGAAATAAATTATGAACACAGTAGAAAATTGTACACTGTTCTTTTTAGACGATCATTGTAATTGTATATTCGATTTGATTTTACACGTTTACTCATTCATTTGTATCTCTTCAAGACTATTTCTGCGTTCGAGGATAACCCTGGTCTGCCTCCACTTTTTGTCAAATTCGTACAAGGCAATGGACTTGTCGAAGGAGCTGCACGCGATGGTGCATGGATCGAGGTCAATACTAATAATGCCGCTGTTAGAGTGTCCCTTATCGGTAGGTATATGCATCTGAGAGATAAAACATAATGGCGAATCAATTATTATGATGATCGTGCAGGTTCGAAGGTTAATTTTGAAAGCGCCTGCAAAATGTGGTTCATTTGGGAATTTACACCGGTGGATAATGAAGAATCAAATACTAATCTAGACTATAAGGTAGATAAAAACGAAGGTTAAAATGTGTTTATAGACAAAATCTTTCAAGCGACGGAGCAAAGCGCAATCGAGTATGTACGCCACGAGCACATATACCTTGATCATGAGTCTATGATACACTTAGTATGCTTGTAAGTGTATGTTCGTGCTTGTGCTGTGCTAAGGTTGGTGTGCTCATTTTCTGGTGGTGAACACCAGTCAATTTAAAAAGATCAATTATGTCGTGTGATGCTTATGATTTAGAGGGCTCTCGTGCCTAGAATGGCCAGATGTCATGGGGGTGTAGTGTATGTCCCAGACTTAATTAATAGAATCTTGTCAACACAATACACTACGCCGTGAGATATATACATAATAGATGTTATAGTAAGACGGTGTGCGAAAGATATAGCTTGATTACTCGAATCAGTGATATACGCATATGATTGGGGTGTGAATACTTGTTGTGAAAATCATGTATACATTGATGGGCACTATGTCCATTTCTTCCCGGGTCACAGACCAGCGCAGAACTGAAATTGTCGATAGAACGCTATATATTGCTACATAGCTGTGGAATCATCCCTCTCCTTCCACGAGCACCGATCAGAATTTTGCATGCCATAGAATCTATTCATACTTCCAACTTAAGGCATATATACGATCAACACAATAATAATAAAATTACAGGTGGTGGACCCAGAAAGTAATCAAGCATGCACGTACATGTACAGTTCACATACAATACTGCATGCACAGGAATACGCCGTTTACGGAGCAGACACGGAATAGTGTACTCACCGGACCACTATACATGACATAAATAACTTGTATTAAAAGCTATATGTCAATCATACCTATTGAAACAAGCACAAGAAACAGCGCAGTATGGGTGACGCGGCAGTGAGGCAAAGAGGTATGTACGGCAAGACATGAAGAAGAAAAAAATCATATACAACTCCATGTTGTGTGACATACATTCAACAAGTTGTGACAAGGTACATAAAATTCCCACATACATGACTCTGCTTGAAGTCCTTGTTGTCATCATCCACTTCCCACACGCGTACACCATCGCGTCCACCACTGATGATACGATTTAGTTTACTATTACCCCCTAGCCCAGTGTACAGCATCTGCACACTCCACACCTGTACGTGAATAAAGGATATCAGATCTACACAATAATTTTTGTGAGTGGCCATTGTATGTCTTTAGATACGGGCCGTCAGCAGAAGTGTACCAATTTATGATACCACTTCACCATTGTCCGCTCGAGGAAATGGTACATCTCTTGCTCTCCAAATATGCTGTACGCTCAATACGATACCTCCCTACAAACGCACAATCCCAATTGCTTGATTCTGCATTGCAAGGTGTTGTGTAAGAGGTATATATCAAACTTGTATACAACCAAAGTACGGTGGGGGAGCTGTGCTCACTTCAATTCATACTTTCTAAGAGTTCATTCATTCGGTAAAAATAAATATGCTTTAGAAAAGTGCCATACACACTTACCTCACCCGTATGTCCTCTCAGCACCGCCACACACTCGTACGATGACATGTCCCACACACGCACAGTGCGGTCCACCGAGCCGCTGACAATGTACTTCCTAAACACGAGAGCATATGTTAAATAATTATTATTATATATATATATATATATATATATATATGAGATAATCGAGTCGACGGCTATGCATTTGCATACTTAAGGCTAAAGCTTTAGATTTTAATAGTAATCAAAAAAAAAGGAAAGTGAGCAAGGCTAACTCACCGGTCAAACTTGATACCGCGTATACCGCCTCCATGGCCCGTGAGTGTTCGTTTGCATTCGCCAGTATCGAAATCCCATATCTATAGGCAGATTATTTGAAAACAGGGACGATAAGGATAGCGGACTGAGAGGTAACCATATAACAACAAGGAATTGTGCTACAGTGTTTGTATTCAACACCTTGTTTGTGGCCTTTTAATACCTTGATACTCCTGTCAAACGAGCCGCTGATAATGACACTCTCATCAAACATAAGATTGATGACATAGTCCTCATGGCCCCTTAGTGTGGCGATCATCTCCCCAGTCTTGAGGTTCCACTTGCGCAGCGTGTTGTCGCAACTCCCGCTGTACACAAATTGAAACGCATTTATAAGGACGAGGGAATATGTTTTTACATCTGCAATGTGTGTCTGTATGTAACACTCGGTATTTGACCTCCGTTCTTGAGATTGAACTTAATTCATTTTTGCTCTCTGAGAGGTGAGAACTTTCAATTGCGGATACGACATGTTCAAATAATATGCACTTATAATTTGATAAAACTTTTCCCTCAAGATTTACAATACAAAAGCTCCATGACTCGAGTATACTCACCTCACGATTGTTTTACCGTCGTGATACAGACAAGTCACTTCCGCGGCATGTCCTTTCAGCGTGTGCAGGCAGGAGTTGAGGTCTCGAGTCCACACTTTCTGTATCGCAGTATGAGTGACAGTTGTGACGGTTTGAAAAGAAAAATCGGGGGCAAACTATGACCTAACACGGATGACACAGCCGACAATCCCTACGGCAACAATGACACAGGTGAGTTAAAGCCTGCATATACACACATCCATACGGGGGGTTTCATACGTCGCTTCATTGCAGAGACCATATGTGCCGTTCCGGAATAAACGAAAGAAACTACGCGTATAGATATAGAGAGATATATCTATAGATGTGATTCACCCTGCTGTCGACGTAGAGAATACGTCCGATTTGGAGCAGAGGTGGTAGCCCGCTGTTATGTTCTTTGTGTGCTCCTGTGTCCCCTGCGCTAGAAAACTCATAGATAAGAAAGACAGAATATCTTACAGGCATACGTTCATATGCCAGTAGATGGTTTTATCAGCACACCTGTATGCGTGGCTCAGGCCCTAGATTTAAAATTTAAAAAAGTACGTATGAACTGAAGATACGATAACTTGTGTGCACATACATACCAGTGTATTATCGGAAGATCCGGTCACAAGTACGCCCGATTCATAGCGCAGACAACTGACTCCATTGTCATGTGCTTGAATAGTCTTGAGACACTCGCCCGAGGCCAGATTCCAAACCTACGAGTATGTGATTACAACCATGGATAAAAACACACACAAGGAACATGAGTAATCATATGGGGTGACGGTAGTTTATGAGTTGCACTTGCACTGGTACAAGTGATGTGATTGATCAGAAACCATTGTACACGAGTAAATATTGGTATATGCATTTGCACAATACCCCATGTACGTACACAGCGAGTCACATACACACGGGCAATATATCTCACTACGAACGGGTACGCAAACCGCCCGCACACACACACACGCACACAAGCGACCATGAAAATCGCTCTTTTTGTAATATACATGCACACTCTTGCACGCATACAATGCACACAACTAATAATTCAGTGGTCGAAGGCACAAATATGCAGCCCAGTCCGAACAATCGTTCTGTGCTCTCACATATACATGGAATTCACACCATATATGTTCTGTGTCTTGACAGTATGTTCTAAGTTGACAGCTATTCGCAAGTAACTACACATTTGTGTGGCCACACATTGTGCATGTAAAACCAACTGTGCACAAGCGACGGACTCACACGCACACATAAACTAACACGATGTCCATGTAAACACAAATACACATACATACATCATACCTTAATCGTGTGATCGAACGAACCGCTGTACAGCACCGAATCCACCATCTGCAGACAGAACACCGCCTTCGTGTGCCCTCGGAAACGGCGCGTAAGGTACTTGCCATGTAGCCTGATTCATAAATTGGTGTTGCATTGAGTGTATGTGTGAGTGTGTGTGTGTATGTGTGTGCGCGTGTGTACATTCTAGAGAAGGGGCTGGCTTTTTGCCCAACATAAGTCCCAGGAATCGAGGACAAAGGGAAGGAATGTATCGGAGCAAGGCTCGCGACGTAGAGTATGTGGGTGTTGCTTTCCTTAACAACAACCACTTTTGAATAGCGAAATTCGATAAGCGATACCTACAAGCTTAGCTGGGGTTTAAACTGACAAGGAGAGATACGAGTGCATATCTTGGATTGACTCTACCAAAAATCATGACTCAAGACGTGACACTACTAAACCCCAAACAAAAGCACTCACATACCAGTTGCTCTCAATTTCGGATTTATACGCGTAGAAGTCTTTGTCATTGTTGGGTCGGAAAGCGTGAAACTGAAAACATCGAAATAATCGTATATTAGACAATGTACTACTTCTGTTGATCAAGTAGCACTCGCGATGCGATCATTCTTAAATAGCAGGAATTGCAATTCTTGTCAGGTGGGTTGTCTACAATATTATATTCATGCTTATCGGTATTTCTATATACATTTATATCGAAATAGACATGTACG